TTTCTAGACGTCAATAACAATGAAAAAAAATCCCTTTACAAGAATTTTCTGTCGTGCGCTTTTGCTACTTCCGGTGTAGGGATTTTGGATATGTGACCGGATATTAACCTTTTTCAATGAAATGCGGAATATAGCTTTCATTATTGCAAGTATTTTTTGTGTCTGCAAAAAAATTGCAATCTGGCGAAAAGTGACCTGTTTTTTAAAATAAGTTTAAAATCGGAACAAAAAGTCGAGAAGTGGTTTAAATCGGAGGTACAGTGTACAGCATTAGACGTATTATGAGTCATTATAACAACCTGTAAAATTTTATTAATATATCTTCGTTTTAAAGATATTTTTGGTTCCATACTTTGTCCCAATAATATATAATAAAAAACAAACAAAAATCTTAATTGCTATTTATGAAACCAATTACGAAATGCGTTATTTTCATAAAACGGATTTTCGTAATGTAATATTAAAAATAAAATGAATAGGTTTTTATAAAGAGATAAAAAAACGAGTAGCAACAACTGACCTACCACCTATCAAATAGGTTATTAACTATATAGAAGGTAGGGTGCTGTATTCTACTATAGGAAATCTACTTAATGTTTACTGAAAGTAAATATAGATAGCTAGAGAGATAATAAAGGAATCTATTATTAAAAGTTAATATAATAAAATGATAAATATTGAATTATATCTAATAGATAAGAAAAAAGAAAAACCAAATAAAAAAGAACACTAAAGGATTCTTTGAGAATTAGTTAGGACTGATCCTTCAGGCACTCCACTGACAACTGATTTCGTTTGAGAGAAACTATTACCAACTCACGTGAAATTGTCTGGAGGTTAAGAAGTCCGTTATCCAATCCATTAAGTTGCCTCGGATTTCCAGGTGTTCAATCTTTTTGAAAAGTCGGTGCTATGGAACTCTATCAAAGGCTTTAGCAAAAGTATATAACATCTGTAGGAAGACCAGCATTTAAGTATTTTGTCCAGTTATTGACAGTCTGCAGGAAATTACTTCAGATAGATCGTCCTTTGATAAATTCATGTTGTTGGGTGGGGAGTACACGTTCGTTTACGAGAAATTCAGTTACCTTATGGACTCCATTACTATTGGTACAAGGCTTATCGGTCTACAGTTATTTGGGTCAAGCTTATTGCCCTTTTTGAATATGGTAGTCACTGACGCAGTCTTCCATATAGATGGCAGGATGTGAGAAAGGAGGGAAAATAGGATTACAGAGAGTGTCAGCATAAGATTTTAAAAGAAAAGAGGAGATACCATCTAAGCCTGGCGAGGAGTTGAACTTAAGCATTTTAGGTTTTTTTTATTCTGTTATGGGCCAAACGATACGTTGGAAATAGAGGCTTGTATTCTGTTTATTGAAATATCCGAAAGTGGTGATGTCAGATCTTCAAGGGTAAAGATATTACAGAGGGTGTTGGAAAAAAGTTGAGCAGATTCAGTACTGTTGGCACACTTATCTCAGTTTTTTTTTTGTAGAAGAGGTACGGGCACTTTGGATGTCAGATTTGTTCTAACATATTTATAGAACTTTTTGCAATCAGCTCAGTTGGCGATATACTCCTGATACTCCTGATAGTTATGCTTTGCTTCAATAATTGTGGCCTTTAGTTGGTTGGAGAATAGTCGATGAGCAGAAAAATCGTTTATGTTAGTGATTCGCTTAAATTTTTTCCATAGTTATTTCTTATGTTTTACCATAGACAGCAGTGGATTATTTATCCAGGGTTTAAGATTTGTTCTTCTATATATTTTGTTTTTAGTATGAGATTTTACACAATCATTAACCGTATTTTGAAAGATATTCCACATGCAGCTCGAATCCATTATTTTCAGGGATAATATAAATCCAGTTTAGTTGGTCTAGATAGAAAAAAAACTTCAGCAGTTAGTGAATGAGAAGAGTGTGATTGGATGTGCAAGAAGAGGATGATTGAAATTGTAAACGATACGTTATGACTGCCTAATCAGATATTCCAACTGGTGGGAGATACACCGGTGGGGTTAAGAGTTGTGCATCATTGGTAAGTAGTAGATCGAGAGTAGACGGCTCCTGATTTATTCTAAATCTCGTGGGTTCGTTTATTAGTTGAACAAAACTAGAATTGCGGCTAAATTCCATGAACTGATTGGTAACATTCTTCGTATCAGGTATAGAAGTTATTGGCCATTTAATGTCTGGAAAATTGAAATCACCTACCAGAATCAGATTATCAGAACCACTTGGGAGTTTGTCTAGCAGAGCCGCGTCAGTAGCAACAGGTGTGTCTGGCGGACTTTCATTTTTGAATGTGAATTAATTATATATTTATAAAGATATTAAACTCTTTTGTCTGGTGGTACTTTTCCCGTTAAGATATTTTTGCTAGAAGTAAGGGAATTCCCATAAAATCCTTTCAGTGACTCATTGCGTCAGAAAATCCCTAATTCTGTTCACGTCTCGTATCGGTTATGCTTAAAGACGGCGGGGTTGTCGGAAGTATCCCTAATATAGCATTTCTGCATTTATATATGTAATTTAAATAGTAAAATTCCATTATTTTTCTAAACATCATGAACTTATATTTTCAGATTTAAAGCTGGAGCTTATTTTTTACTTTTTAATTAAAACAATTATTATTACTCAGGCTGAAAATTAACCAGACCATAATCAAAAAGTAGAAATTTGATTTGCAATATTTATCTGGTAAACGTGGCAACGTTGCATTTATTTCTAGAAGTGTGTGTAGACAACACTATTTAGAAGTACTTACAACGTTGTCACGTTTACCAGATACATTTTCTCAAATAAAATTTCGATCTGGTAATATTCAGCTTGAGTAATACTAATTGTTTTTATTAAAATTTAAAAAAGGTAGGGCTTCCAGCTTTATCTGAAAATATGAACACATTATTTTTAAAAAATAATATATTTTTATCATGTAAATTTCTTTAATAAATGCAGAAGAGGAATGGTGGTGCAATGATACATCCGACAACCGCGCCCTTTTAACTATTAACCGATACGAGACCTGAAGGGAATTAGGGGTTTTCTGACGCAATGAGTCACTGAAAGAATTTTATGGGAATTCCCTTACTTCTAGCAAAAATATCTTAACGGGAAAAGTACCACCAGACAAAAGAGTTTAATATCTTTATAAATATATAAATAATTCACATTCAAAAATAAAAGTGAACGGGCCCATTGAGATGGTGCAGCTGCAAAGAGAATCAATAAGAGGAAATGAGATATTTACAGGTGAAATTGTAAAACAATTTGGTATGTTAAGCTACATATATGCATAATCCCCCTCCTCGTTTATCAATTCGATCATATCTAAAAATCTGGTAATTAGAAATAGAGATTAAGCTATCTGGAATCTTTACATTGAGCCACGTTTCGGTAATTAAAATAAGGTCCGGTTTTTCAGATTGAATAAGACAAACAAATTCATTGAATTTTTTGGGAACAGAATCTAAATTTGTGTACAGGAAGAGCCAATTTATTAGATATAATTTACTATTTTTAATTTTATTATATTAACTTTTAATAATAGATTTCTTTTTTTTGTCTCTATCAATCTATATTTACTTTCAGTAAACATTAGGTAAATTTCCTACATTAGATTACAGTTACCTATTTGATAGGTGGTAGGTTAGTAGCTCATTTTGTTATCTCATTATAAAAACCTGATTTATAAATTCACTCCATTCTGCTTTTAATTTGTCTTGTCTTGATTTTATAAAATTTTAGAAATGTTTGTCTGTAACTTGTTTTTTATCGTTTAATGTAATATTTAAATATTGTTTGGTTCTTCAACCTGAAATAGGTACTTTTACTTTACTTTTATTTTTTTAACCCTTGAAATATAACATAATCTCGGAATATATATTATATGGAAAAATTATGTAGCTTATCCGTAATGGATATGTTATGTCAAATTATTACTAACTTTCCCCTTTGTTTCTTTTAAAAAACAAAATATTTTTTGTTCAATTTTATATCAAATTATTTTCACCTTTCAATACATTGACTCCATGACTTTCCGTTTAGGTTTATGTGATGATCAATTAATCACTTCGAAACCGGTCGCCATTAAATTGACTTTGTGAGAAATAAATTACTTTCTTTACAACCTTCGTATTCAATTCACACATTTTATTGACAAATAGAAAATCCTATTAATTTATTCCCAACGAATTATAGTGTTTATATTGCTTGTTAACGTTGAACTTTTCGAGAAAGTGGGTTATTTTGTCGTGTATTGTTGTAAGGAAAATAAGGATTAAAACAACATTATTACTAGGTTGTAAACTTAACTAAATTCAATTTTATAAGTCTACCTTTCCTTTTCTTTAATATAAACTGTTAATAATAATGTATATATTAGTTTTAAAACCAGAAAAGGTTTTTTTTATTAAAGAGGTTGAATGGTGTGTACACACTGGGTAATAAGAAATAAATCGAGAGTATTTAAAGTGTGTAAAATTGAGTTTTATTCAATAAAACTCTGTAAAAATTTGTCTAAGCGCTTTCGGCCTATTAAGCCATCATCAGAGACTCTATAAAAGAGAAAAAACGGAGATGGAACAGTATCAACACGTAACATTACTAAACATTGAATAAAAACAAAAACTTGTACACTTACTCGTCAAAAACTATAGAAGAAACATGAAAAGTGAACTAAATTAAAAAGGACAGCAACAGACCAGTCCCAAGTCTCCACCATAGCTTGCAGCTTGGATAATTGAAAATAAAAGAACCACACCGAAAATGTGGTTAAATTTTAACAAATAAAGTGGAGGTTCATTCGACCATGTAGAACAAAACACTCCACGCTGGTTGCGTAAAGCAGATCATTTTGACACTTTATATGTCAAAATTTACATAACCAGCCATAGCCATCACGATTTGCTTTTTTTTTCGATCTTTTATATTATTTGTGATCTTGTTTTCGATTTCTTTTCACAGACCCTATATATAATAATAATATATTTCTAGATCATCTCCTGGCTGACTGACCCCAACAAACCAGCAAATCTAGTCATGTTTTACATAGAAGAACCCGATACTCACGCCCATGCTTTTGGGCCAAATTCAGAAAAAATAAGAGAGCTTCTACAAAAACTTGACAATATTACAGCGTACTTAGAAGTAAGTAAAACCCTATAAAAACTACATTATTAAATAAATGTGTTAATAATTTTAAAATCGTTACAACATTAGCAGAACTATTAATACTAAATAGGATATCATTATACGGAAATACCGATTTTAATTAATAATAATTTAATGAATAAGAGTAATTTCCTGACCGTAGTAGAATTTTATATAAATAAAACCAAGGGACTTTATACAATAATTTAATCAAAACTTTTTGATAGGGCAAAAGTCAATGACGATGTTATTAAGTTTGTTTTATTTGTTTGAAGAAAATATTACAAGTAAAAGCTAGAGATTGATATAATGAAAAAGAAAAAGGTCTCGTATTTATTATTTTGTAACACATGGCTTGAGAATTTGTTTATTTGACGCCTTGGTCACATTTACCGGGACGGTGGTGTAGCGGTCTATCGCGCTTATATTCATTTATAGGCAAGTTTATGAGTCTGAGACTGCTGGGTTTCGAATCCCAACCAGACCATGTGGATTTTTAATTAAATTGCATGGTTCGGTTTAGGATTTGATGTGTGGCGTATTAATAGAAATTCAATTTCTGTTGATATGACATGCAGATTAAAAAAATTCGCCATACATTACCGTCTCGATGATGGTGGGTGAGGTTTTCCGGGTTTTCCTCACCTGTAAGTCAAATGGCACCATCAATCATCTTTAAGTCGCCCCGGAGCGCCACGGCAAATAATAATAATAGCCGTCCCTTCCCCTACACAAGTCGTTCAGTCGACTTCAGGGGTTGAAATTCACTCGTAAGGGGTGAATTAGGGAGAGTATTATTATATTATTATTATTATTATTATTATTAGAGTTTGAAATTATTTTCCTTTTTAGGTAAATACATCCTTGTCTATAATTAACGATTCACTAAAATTATTACATATTAAACGACGATTTATACACTATAGTAAAGAGGGCTGACATAGTTGCCATAATCGTCGCCTCAGAGCAACGGTAGGACATCTCAAAAAACTTCGTTATGAGAAAAATGCAAATAATGATTTGACGAAAATTAAGTTCTTCAATAACTTTGCTATTTTTGAATGAATTTGAATAATTAGTTTGTTTCATATGAATGCATAAACAAATAAAAAAAAATCATTATAAATAATTGAAAAAAAAGTTACTTGTCCTAGTGTTGCATTAAAAATATCTTCTTATTTTGTTAGATAACCTAGTGTACCACTAAATATGTTTACAATTGTGTTATAATTTTTGTCAATGCAAAAATAAAACTCATTTTTCTGTTAAGAGTTTTTATTAAAAAAAAAACAATATTTATTAAATATCTTTAACAAAAAATTAAAAAAAAAAAAAAAATAGAACAACGAAACCTGCAGAGAACTTGGAAAAAAGTTAAAATTAAAACTAGTAATTAAAATAAAGTTGAATCAGAATCATCGTAAGAACCAGCGGTTGCTGACAATTATTTAAAAAAATTATGATGCTTTTGTGGAATTAAATTGTCATTGCACAATCTAATTAAGTCATTTTTTTATTAATGGGAATTGGTGGTGCTCTGCCGGAATTAGAGTTGCATTATTTCCTAGATGGGACTTTGTTTTTTAATATAAATACTATCAAACTCTTCCTGTTTGGACGAGGTCTTGTAAAAATTTTTATTAGTTTCAGTTTTTCTAACTTTAATTATTTTAATATCATTAAATAAAACTTTTTCCTTTTTCTCGTTTACATTAAAGTTCGTGCCCATTATTTTAGTTATTTTTTTCCAATCAACAAAATCTTCAGTTGACATCTTATTGACTTCGTATGGTTTACCTCGTTTTTTAGCTGATTTAGCAATGGTTACTAGTTCAGATGGCACATAAAGCGGGCCATTTTAAGTACTCTTGATCTTTCCTTTTCAATACACGAATGCATGGAATCACCCTCATTTTCCGTGTGTCCAATTTTCCTTTTCCAGACGAGACAGAACCTTTTCCTCTTGGAGCTTTTCAAAATGTTCTTTTCTAGTTTTTTTTTCGTCAGCACTTAAATTTTTATACGTTTCGCAGACAGAACATAAGTCTTTTTTCGGCTGAAAAAACCCTAAATTAAACTTTGTATTAAAAATGTTGGAGTAAATGTATTGTGTAACGAAAGTTCTACCATCGCTTATACATTCTTGTTTATATAACCAGTACATAATGCTTAAGGTAGTTCACTCGCGACAGTAGTACACAAAAATATCGCCCTATAAGTGAATACCAACCGTTCGAGATTCTTAAATCTAAAGTAAGGTTATTTTTGCAACAGACTGTACACACAACACATGTGATCCTATATACAAATATGGTATTATATCGCGTAAAATCCATCCGGCAACGTCGCAAATATATTGTGAAACGTCATTCGATAATGTATTGGAATAGATACGCCTTGTTTACATAAACAATTGTCGTATGATAATAAGGTCCACAATCACATGCACAACAAACGGTGGTACAAGCAGAGGTTGCCACAGTGTCACTTTCGGTTAAACGTATAAGGATAATAATTATTAGTTCCCAATGTTTCAAGGTTCGAAATACTTAATATGGAGCTTAATATTTAACAGTTCATTTAAGAATCTGGATCATATTCATAAAATTTCTCATTTAATTTTCTTCTGTATTGAATCGGTGTTTAAATTAGATGTTTTTAGATTTTGTTCACTACGATCCATCGGTTTAACCATTAAATACTATATTTTAACTGGACATTTGGCAACCCTGTTTCTGTATGTTTTTAAAAGTGTCATTCGGTGTTTTATTTTAGTGAAATATTCTTGTTTTATTTATTTATATGAAAGAAATTATTTACAAACGTGATTATACATTTCAAAATAGTAAAGAGATGCATAGTTTTCCGAACATTTTGGACCAAAAACACCCAAAACCAATGCTTGCTATTTTCACAGGTAGGTTATGTCAAAATCAATCTCATGAAATGTAAATAATGTAGATATCCATGGGCGTAACAACTGTGCTAGGGTTTTTTTTATTTCTTGATATAAAAATACCTAATTGTAGAAAATGGCTATTTTATGGTATATACGTTTACACGTTTCCAAGAGACATTGTCTAATGTCATTGTGGCTGAACAACTTGAAAATAAATGAGCAAGATCTCAAAACTGAAAGATGCCAAAGTTTGTTCAGATCACTTTTCACATGAAGATTTATTTAGCTATAATAAAATCGAACATTTTATTTGAAATCCAATGTTTTGCTAATAGAGTAAGTAAACAAGTGTCTTTATATACATACTTTCGTATTGATATAGGTAAAAGGTAATTTTTAAGTATTTATTGCAAACATCTACTTACACCTAGTTAAACAATTCGTTTCTGAAACTAAGTGTTATTGAGGTCTAAAATACTGTGAAAAATAGCTTAGAACTGTTGTCTCCCAGTTGTAGTTTAATAAACACAAAGTAAACTTTTTTGATTATACTAAACCCATTATTGAAAACTTATAATTTTTTTTAGTACGTACTTCGTTGAGAGAAGTAGTATAGAAAATGTATATGTGGTAGTGATGTAAGAATACGTATCCAAAAATCCGTTGAATCCGAATAGTAACAGGATCCGGATATTCCGGAATCAATGTGTAAATTCGAATACAGATTCGGAAACAAAAAGGACAGAAACAAAATCTGAAATCCGAATACACGAATCGAATTCTTCATGTACTGTGTTCATAACAAAGCCGATTCCGAGATTTGCGGGTGGCAACCGATGCGAAATCGGAATTCGGAATCGCCCTAACTAGCCTTGTTGCAATTCGTAGTCGATTAGTTGGCATGTACTAAGTATATTAATGGTAACAAAGTTGTATAAATATAAATAATATTTAGTGAATGAGAAATGTTATTTCTGATATTATTATAAAATCAAAATATTTGAGATTTTCTTGAGTTTATTATTCCAAAACATTAAAAGCTTCTGCTACTTCACTCTCAAACAAATTCTGCTAGGGTTGGCAACACTGCCCGGTTCCGATTCCCCTGTCGCGGTGTATTTACGGTTGCGTATTATTATGACTTCTCACATATGGAATATGGATACGTATCCGGATGATGAATCCGAATATCTCTTGGTTCCGAATTCGTATTATCCGAATACTAAAAAGATACGGATATTTACAACACTAATATGTGGGAACGTATGATGATTATATTCGCTCAGTGCGAAGTTATGGTAGGGGAAGCAAAAGCGATACTAGCGCAAGCTGCAGATAATTCGACCACTTTAGGGCGATATTTTGTAATTTTGGCGTATCAAATACACGTATACATTTTACTTTTTTTTGCAAAAAAAAGTAAGAACAATGTAATAAGCAACCGTAGTTGGTGTGTACTAGAAGTAGAATCTCCCAAGGTATTTATTTATTTTTATCTTCTAAAAAGTAAGTTTTCACTTCTTTTACAAAATTAAATTATTTTTAAATTCTAAGATATTTTCTAATTTATTATTTTTTAAGTCCAAGCTTAGATGACATACTCTAAAACAAACGGAGTCCCACAATAGATCTGAAAAGGTCGCGGTGGACACGGACACATAATGTCAAACTCCTTTTAAATCTAATATCTAAGCTACCCTTATTTTTGACAGAAGCGTTGTGACATGCCACTCATATTTTGGTAAGCCTTTTTTGTACAATTAACTATCGCATCATAATTTTTACGTAAAAGTCTTCAGTATTCTAAGAAATTCATGTATTCGTTTAATTGGGCATTTAGAAGCAAATTGATATGAAAATATTGTTTATTATTCGCACTTATAAGGAGCCTGTATAATAATTGCAAATGGTTACAACGTTGCCAACTGTCAGTTAAAATGTTGAATATTGCATAAAACCATGGAAGTGACTCTTCTTTCGAAATATCAGGATACAATTTCAAGACAAAATAATGAAAACGATAAACCCCCTTGGATTATGGAGGAACATAATAATGATCCCATATGCGCAGGGTACTGCCTAAATATAACCAATGGGT